TCAGCCTGGAAAAGCCAATGCAGTAGCTGACGCCTTAAGTAGAAAAGCTTATTTGTCCCGACTTATAATATAGAAAGAATTATTAGAAGAATTGTGCAGGGAGCAGATTGAGGTGATATCGGGAAGGATTGCTGATGCGTGCAAATGCAACACCTAATTTTACCTCACTAAATTCTAGTGCAAAGTTGTCTAGTAGCAAAGAGCAAGTAAGGGTTTTTCCCGCAGAGGATTTGTGAACTTAATTAATTATTTACTTCTAACAAGGTTTGTCACGAATTATAAAATCTCAACAAAAACTAAAAAGAACTCAAAGCAAACAATGTAAATCAAGCAATTAATGATGATAGAGAAATCAATGAGATAAACGAGATTGAAGGTTTATTCGCCTCCACTAGACACGGATTGCATATAATAAAAGCACTCTTTAACTTTCTACCCTCTTGATCACATCAGCTCATAAAATACTAAACGTTGATAAGTCCCATCTCTCCTTACTGAGTCGTTGGACTAGACACGGTCATAACCCAATTCCCTATTTATTAAATAACCTAGGATATGATCTCTAGATTCAAAGTAATAAAAGAATTAAGTTGCGAGAGACCTACTGAATCAAGGCTAAACTCATATGGTCGGTTTAGTTATCTTGAGTAATTACCCCCCATGTATGCAGACATATACTTTACCACTAGTTATTTAGGTTAATAAAGCGATTCTGTACTAAACAACCTAAATTGGCAGTAATAGATTGATCCTAACGATTTAATTGGCCACTTAAACAATTAGAAAAATCTAGTTAGACCCTATTTTCAGAGAAATAATCACATAACCAAGAGGGATTAAAAGATAAAAAGATGTAGATTTTATTAATCACAAGACATGTCTAGGGTTTTGAAATCACCCTCAATCACAAAAGAATTAGTTCTTCATGAATAAATATGAGAACATCATTGTATTATTCATAACAAATAATAATAACAAAGAAGAAGAAAAACTTAGTGAAACTTGGTTGGATTAATGAAGTTGATGATGATATCCTCCAATTCTTCTTCTCCAAGCCTTCTTTAATCTCCCTTTTTCTTCAGTTCTTGAATAATTTTGTTCTCTCTTTTTTTTCCTCTAAAAGAATCCCCCAAAATAATGCTAAAGGACTTCTATTTATATCCCACAAGGGTTAGGGTTTTGTTTTCCTTAATTCTAGTTAGTTTAGGACTCTTAAAACCTTATTTTCCTAGTAAAAAATGGAGGAATTAAAAGTTCCCAGCTGTCGTGACTGTGCCGTAGCACTGTGCTGCAGCATAGTAGCTACTGGAAAAAGTGTGCCGCAGCACAGTAGCTACTGGTCTTCTTCCCGCATTATTCCATTGTTCTTCATAGATGGTGATGTTTGAACTTGATAACGATGAAATTTGGAAAAGTGGTAAACATATGAAATGTAGCCCTTTGAATTAGCTTTCCAACAGTTCAAGAATTGTCTTAATCAGAGTTCTAAAGCTCAAGATATTTTCAACATACCGAGGCATGTTCAAGCTAGAACGTAATCTAGAATCTTCTCTTTACTTCAACTTCCATAACTTCTTCAATTCAACTCCGATTCTCAATCCGTTTGTTTCTAGTCGTCACATATTCTCTCCCCAACATCATCTCTCATCCGAATATTATTTTTGAGCCTTATTTTCTGAAAACACAACAAAAATACCTATGATACCGAAAAGTGCATTTATGAAACAATTAAGTTAATTCATGCGAATTAATCCTAATTTCCCACCAATGATACCTATAAACCACTAAGTATAAGTATATTTTCAAGCACTTATCACAACCCCCAACCAGCTTCTTGCTAGTCCCTAGCAAGCTAAGCGATAAAAATATGTCTTCTAGCTTGAAAATTAAAATAAAATAAACATAAATCTAATCTACACCAAATCAATACCGTAGATTGTCACGGTTGCATTTAGCGTATGCAACAAGCCTTTAAACCCCTAGGTGGCCCTAGTTGGACCAGTTGTAGTCTCTTGAGGGTTTCCAGCGATGATACCCACAAATATCCATACTAAACCTAACCTAGACTCGAAGATTAAAAACAAACAAACAAAACATTAGTCTCCGGATATACATTCATCTCAAAAATTGCATACAACACATAACATAAAGAATAGTTTAACATCACCCAAGCCCAAAGGTAACTCAAAAATCAATTTAATTTTCATTATCAACTCTCACACATCAATCATTCCACAAACCCGTTAATCTCAAAACCCGGATAATCACATGCACAAACTTCACAAACAAAGAATTGATCTCAAATTTTAAAAATATAATATAATGTATAGAATCAAATTCATAGGCTCACTTTTCAAACTACTCTCCGCTAATGTAGAATGATCACACTACCTGGGATCAATAGGTCTTTATTAAGCTTGTTACGTTAGGCTAGGTTATGAGGTTATGAAAGAATGGAAAAGATAAGCAAAAATAAGAGACTCAATCCTATTTCTTTCAAACACTTTCATTCAAGCACCACCAGTCTTCTTTACACCCCACTTTTTCCACCCTTTATCAAAAATAATTTATTTGCATCATTTATACTTTGCAATGTTTCTCAGTAAATTTCCTTTTTCTTTCTTTCTTTTTTCTCTATTTTTCTTTTCTTCTTTTTTTTTTCTTTCAATATAATTTTTTTTTTTTCATTCAAAAGAAAGAAAAGAAAGCTAAAAATTCTACCCAAACTCTTGATTAAAAAGCACTCCACAACCCCCAACCTATTCTTTTGAACACATTTGGAATAAATTGACAATTTTCACAAACCATCACCCTCACTTCTTTAATTGCTCTCACCAATCTTGTACTGATGAGAATGCAAAATGTCATATTTACCCCCCTTAATGTCTAGTCTTCTATACTTATTTTTTGCCTAAATATACTCATTATTATTCTATTTTGATTTAGGATGCAAATGGAGGAGCTAAATGCAAAACGGAACTAATTTGATGAATTCAGACAATTTTGACATTGCTTTGTAATCTGGGCATAACTCTCTCATCCGAGCTCCGATTGAGACGATTCAAAATGATGTGAAACTAGAAGAAATATATATACAACTTTCATGTTTTGAGTTTGGAGAGATACTCGCTGAATCAAGGTTTAAATCGGACTTGAAGTTGACGCACCTGAACTGCCGATATTCTGGAACATTCTGCCCTATCAAGCAAGTCAATTAGGCAGTTTATTATTGGAAGATTTGAAGACCTTTACAGCTGGACACACCAATTTCCTTTTTTATTTTAGGACTTTATTTTATTTTCAATTAATTAGAATCAGATTAGGATAAATGTTACTCTAGGATATTAGAATATTTTGAGAAGATTAAGTAGAATTAGAATTCAAATTTAGATATTTTTAAAGAGAGATCAGATTGGGATATATCACACACGCCTCTCTCTTTTCTCTCTTCTGGAATTCGTTTTTCCTTTGAGTTTTTCATAGCCATGAGCGGCTAAACTTTTAGAACTTGGTCGAAGGAAACAAGACCTCGGAATCAATAAACTGTGAGATCAATCTGGTTTTTTTTCTTTAAGTGTTCAATTTATGTTTGAGTATTGGATGTTCTTCTATGCATATTTTCATGATTGTTGCGTTTAATTACTAGGAGGCCTACTAGTTTATTAGTTGCTGCAATCTGTTGCTAAGTTAGATATCAAATCTGTAATTGTTTGATTCCTCTAACTTATGAAGCAATTAGGGTTAATAATTTTCTGCGTCAGGAATTAGTAATTCTTAAGAAGAACACTCGACTAAATTAAATGCAACCGCTTGAGTTTGTGTTGTTTAGCTTCATCGATCTCTCTAGGTCTTAAGGCTGCCACTAGATTAAATCTTTAGCACTTGTCTAGGGTTGTTTAGTAGTAAGGTTAATTAGATCGCTTGTTTCTTAATTAATTACAACTAAGGAGAGATAGGAAAATAGTTCCAACGGTGAATATTCAGGGTATGAATTGATTTATTTTTGTATCGATGATCAGTTGTAAGATTCTGATGGTGGATGTTGACCTAGACCAAGGTTTGTTATTTTGATTGATTGATTAATTTGAATTGTTGTTTTCCTGAAATTATTTTTTGTTTTTACTCAAACCCCCCAGCCTTGTTCACATAACATTAAATTCGGCTAGACACTCTCCGTGGGAATGATCTTGACTCACACTACATGTGTTTTTAGGTTTTAATTCTGGGTGCCTACGACAGCATGCCATGTACTTAGATTAAGTCTCTTAAAAATTAAAGGGTAGGAATGTGTTTTTGGCTCAAAATAATGGTGGGTTAATGTAGGTTACATGAAAGAAAATCAAGGCTAAATGTGTTTAATAATGGCTCAAAGGGGTAACTAGAAATAATTTAAATAAAGGGTTGGCTTGAAAGGCTCAAAAGATCCAAAGATAGCCTAAATCATATCCTAAAAAATGTACATTATAGGATTTCGACTCAAGTAGTTATCAAGTGAGTTCTAGAATTTGTTGAGATCGCAAAAATGTCTATGAAAATTCATACATAACAAACATCACTAAGCCTTAAGACTAACCAACCAAATCATACCACATAGCATGAGAGTCTCAAACTAGATGAAACTAATTATTCAAAATTACCCCTAGACCTAAGCAACATTTAACATCTTCTAAACGTCACATGTTATCACAATTATAATCATATCATTGACACATAAATTAATTCGAAAAACTAAAAAAAATTTAATCCTAAAAACATGCAAAAAAAAAAAAAAAACTATAGCAACAACAAATGCAAACACACAAATGTAAACACATACTTAGACATACCAAAGAATTACTATTTCTATGTCTCACCCCTAACCTAAATTAGGCAATGTCCTCATTGCTCTATTAATCGGTATTAAAGAAAAATCATTAAGAAAACGAAAACTAACACAAATCAATGGGTTGCCTCCCATGTAGCGTTTTGTTTAACGTCGTTAGCTTGGCATTGTTCTTTGCTTAACCGTCCATGTCCGTTGGTTCATGGAGAGGTACTTCATCCAATTGTCCCATGAATGGCTCGTAGTATGGCTTTAGACGATGGCCATTGACCTTGAAGTCTTTCCCATTCTTCATGCTCTTAATTTTCACTGCACCCTTGGGAAAAACATTAGTAATCACAAAAGGACCAACCCAACGGGAACGTAACTTACCGGGAAAAAGTTTAAGATGTGAATGGATTAGAAGAACTTTTTGTCTAGCTTCAAAATGCTTTCGCTGGATCGTTCTATCATGGAAGGCCTTTGTTTTGTCCTTGTAAATACGTGAACTTTCATAAGCTTCATTCCGTATCTCCTCAAGTTCATTCAATTGCAATTTTCGTTGTTCTCCCACTGCATCTAGTTTCATATTGCACTACTTAATTGCCCAATAGGCTCTATGCTCTAATTCAACGGGAAGGTGACATGGTTTACCATAAACCATTCGGAATGGGGACATTCCAATTGGTGTCTTATATGCTGTCCTATACGCCCACAATGCGTCGTCAAGTCACAAGCTCCAATCTTTCCTATTTGGATTCACGGTTTTTTGTAAGATGGACTTGATTTCCCGATTAGAGACTTCGGCTTGTCCACTCGTTTGTGGGTGGTATGGCGTAGAGATCTTGTGGGGGACGTTGTATTTCTTCAAGGTAGCCCAAAATGTACGGTTGCAAAAATGAGTGCCCCCGTCACTAATTATGGCTCTAGGTGTTCCAAACCTTGCAAAAATGTTAGATTTTACAAAATCTACAACAACTTTAGAATCATTAGTTCGGGTGGCCTTTGCTTCTACTCATTTAGACACATAATCAACAGCAAGTAAGATATAAAAGTAACCATAAAAAGACGGAAAGGGTCTCATGAAATCAATATTCCATACATCAAAAATCTCAACAAATAAAATTGGATCTTGGGGCATTTGATTTCTTGCACCTAAATTACCTGAGCGTTGACATCTATCACATGTTTTGCAAAAACAATATGCGTCTTTAAAGAGTGTAGGCCAATAGAATCCACTCTCAAGAACCTTGAGAGCTGTCCTCTTTGCTCCGAAGTGTCCTCCACATGCATAGGAATGGCAAAAAGTTAAAATTAAATTAAATTCACTTTCAGAAACGCACCTTCTTATGATTTGGTCGGGGCAATATTTCCAAAGATATGGATCATCCCACACGTATTGCTTGGCGATCTTCTTCAGTTTATCCTTGCTAGCACGCGACATGTTGGGTGGGGTTCTCTTGGTTAATATGTAATTTACTATATCTACATACCATGGTCCCGAGGATGTCATTGCAAGTAATTGTTCATCCAAAAAATCATCTTTCAATGGAAGAGCATCTTCTTGGTTTATCAACCTACTTAAATGGTCTGCTACAACATTCTCACTCCCTCTTTTGTCTTTGATTGTTAGGTTGAATTCTTGTAGCAATAGAATCCACCTTATAAGCCTTGGTTTAGCCTCATTCTTCGTAAGCAAATACCTAAGAGCTGCATGGTCAGAAAAAACAGTAACTTTAGTGCCAATTAGATAAGAACAAAACTTTTCTAATGCAAAAATAACCACCAAAAGTTCTTTCTCATTTGTGGAGTAGTTAAGTTGAGCGTCATTCAATGTTCTTGAAGCATAATAAATGGCATGTGGTAACTTTCCAACTCGTTGTCCCAACACGGCTCCAATGGCATAATTGCTTGCGTCGCACATCAACTCGAATGGAAGACTCCAATCAGGTGGCTGAATAATTGGGGCTGTGGTTAGGAGTTCCTTTAGTTTCTCAAACGCCTTTATATGCTCTTCATTGAACTCAAACGCTACCTCTTTTTGTAACAAACAGCATAAAGGCCTTGCGATCTTGGAGAAATCCTTGATAAATCTCCTATAAAATCCTGCATGTCCAAGAAAAGAACGTACCTCTCTCACACAAGTGGGAGGTGGTAAGGAACGTGCAAGATCTATTTTATCTTTATCAACTTCAATCATCCTAGATGAGATAATATGCCCTACAGCCATCCCTTGATTTACCATAAAATGGCATTTTTCCCAATTTAAAACGAGATTAGTTTCTATGCATCTTGTAAGAACTAATGTCAAATTACCCAAACAATTATCAAATGAGTTTCCATAGACACTAAAATCATCAATAAATACCTCTATAATGTTCTCTATGTAATCGGAGAAAATACTTACCATGCACCTTTGAAAGGTGGCGGGTGCATTACAAAGGCGAAATGGCATGCGTCGATAAGCAAAAGTGCCAAAGGGGCATGTAAACGTCGTCTTCTCTTGATCCTCCGGTGCAATCACAATTTGATTATAACTTGAAAATCCATCAAGAAAACAATAGTGAGAATGGCCCGCTAAACGTTCAAGCATTTGATCGACAAATGGAAGAGGACAATGATCTTTGCGCATTGTGGCATTGAGCTTGCAGTAGTCTATGCACACTCGCCATCCCGTTTGAATGCGAGTGGGAACTAAGTCATTATCTTCATTCTTTACCACGGTTATTCTAGATTTCTTAGGAACTACTTGGACTGGACTAACCCATTTACTGTCTGAAATTGGGTAGATCACACCAACATCTAACAACTTGATTATTTCCTTCTTCATTACTTCCATCATTGGTGGATTCAACTGTCTTTGCGCTTTTCTTGTAGGCTTCGATCATTCCTCTAATAATATGCGGTGCCTGCACATGGAAGGACTTATTCCTTTAATGTCAGCAATCGTCCAACTAATTGCCATTTTGTACTCTCTCAACACACGAACAAGTTTCTCTTCTTGCACCTTTGAAAGGTTGGCCACTACAATCACGGGCAATGTGTCTCCTTATCCCAAGTATAAATACTTGAGATGACTTGGTAAAGGCTTAAGCTCCAAGGTAAAGGCGTGCACAATGGAAGGTAAAAGTTTCTCATTAGATATGGGAAGAGAAATATAAGAGATTTCATACCTTGGATTTTTCTTTGGAAGCTCATCCAACATTGCTATAGTTTCATTTAGCTCTTCTCCCAACTCTACGTCTTCATTAAAACTTTGAGGTTCCTCGGTTGACAACCCATTCCATATTGCCACTTCCAATGGATCTTTACCCTTAAGTTTGAACATTTGCTGCGTTAAAGAGTCAAGTACATAAATGGAAAAGCAATCATTGTCATCGTTAGGATATCTAATTGCGTCAAAGATGTTAAATTGAATGACTTCCCCATCAAACTCCATTGTTAACATCCCATTATGCACATCTATTTTCATACGGGCTGTTTTTATGAATGGTCTCCCCAAAACTAATGGCATGGTTTTCACAGTTTTTTCATCTTTCATGTCAAGCATGTAGAAATCCACTAGAAAAACAAGCTCGTTTACCTGCACCAAAACATCTTCAAAAACTCACTTTGGATAGGCATTAGATAGATCAGAGAGTTGAATAACTAAGCCAGTCTCTTTAAGAGTACCAAGATTTAAATCAAGATAAATTGAGTAAGGCATGACATTAATAGAAGCACCTAAGTCTAAAATTGATTTCTCAAACCTTGTGTTGCCTATGATGCATGGTATGGTGAAACTACTCGGATCTTTGCACTTTGTTGGAAGCTTCCTTTGCAAAACCGCTGAGACATTTTCTTCCACGCTCACCACCTTGTTTCCCTTAAGTTTTCTCTTGTTGGTGCACAATTCTTTAAGAAATTTCGCATAACGTGGCACTTACTTTATTGCATCCAACAAAGGAATGTTGACATGTACTTTTCTAAAAGTGTCCAAAATTTCTTGTTCATGTTCCTCCCTCTTTGATGTGGCAAACTTGCTAGGAAAAGGCAAAGGAGGTTCGTAAGTATTAATAGGAACATTAGATTGTACCTTAGGTGGATGTTTTGCATTGGAAGAATCAGTTGGCGAATTTTCTGCACTTTTGGGCTGCTTTGTTCCACCTTGAGTCAACTCATCTCCAACTTCTTTCTCATCATTTGGCCTCTTGTGAGTCTTCTCAAGTTGTCTACCACTTCTCAAAGTAATGGCACTAGCATTCTCCCCAGGGTTAACCAAAGGTTAGGAAGGGAGCTTTTCGGACCCATGCGCCTCTAATCTTCCAAGAGTAGTAGCCAATTGACTAACTGGGCTTTCCAAATTCTTGATTGACATTTTTGTTTCTTGTTGGAACTTGAGATTCTCTTGCTGAAATTGAAGAGAGCTAGTTGCTAATGAGTTTACCAAGTCCTCCAAAGGCTTACCTTGAGGTTGGGAAACATTTGGGGTCTTGCTTGCTACGGTTGTAGAGCTTGTGGGTAAGGGAAACCAAGTGGATTATTAGTGACAGCAACTTGTTGATTTCCTCCATAGCTAAGATTAGGGTGATCCCTCCATCCTGGATTATAGGTATTGGAAAATGGATCATACCTTTGCTTTTGTTGTCCTTGGTATCCTCCCATGGCATTTACTTGTTTTGTATTTGTCTCTTGAAGGGTAGGACACATATCGGTAGGATGTCCCACATTGGAGCAAATTCCACACGTCATCACTTGTCCAATTGCAATTTGTTGCACAAGTGCAGTCAAATTATTCAATTGTTGCTCAAGATTATTGGATATCCCCACTTCATTTACCTTCCTTGGTGGTGGATTGGATCAAGTACCAAATTGTTGAGAGTTTTCCGCCATGGTTGCAATTAAGTTCCTTGCTTCTGTAGAAGTTTTATCAACTAACGCACCTCCACTTGCTGCATCTATCATGCTCTTCTTTATTGGCATCAATCCCTCATAAAAATATTGGAGAAGTAATTGCTCACTTATTTGATGATGCAGACAGCTAACACACAATTTCTTAAACCTTTCCCAATATTCATATAAGTTTTCCTCATTGTATTGCCGAATCCCACAAATTTCTTTCTTAATGAGTGTGGTTCGAGATGCTAGAAAATACTTCTCCAGGAACAACCTCTTCATCTCATTCCAAGTAGTTATGGTCCCCGATGGTTGGTAATAAAGCCATTCCTTAGCACTATCTGCTAAAGAAAATGGGAACGCCCTTAACTTCACTTGTTCCTCCATTGTTCCCTTTGGTTTCATACTCGAGCACACCACATGGAACTTCTTAAGGTGCTTGTTTGGATCCTCTCCCGCTAAACCTCTGAAAATTGGTAGAAGATGAATCATCCTAGATTTAAGCTCAAAAGCTCCCCCTGCCATATCATTGTATGGAATGCATAAAGGTTGTTGGTCAACGGTTAGTGTAGCCATCTCTTTGAGAGTTAGATTAGCCATCTCCTCTTGATCAGAAAAATCAGAAGAATCACTTGTGAGTGGAAGATCGGGGTGGATTGCTTGATCGAGAGTTTATCTATGCAAAGGTTGTTTCAAATGAGCAATTGGTGGAATCAGATCAGAATGAGGATTCGATCTCAAATTGTATCACGAGCTCATTCACCAAAAACACCTACAACTCAAAAACAAAGAATAAATAAAAATTGAAAAATAAACAAAAAGTAAACAAATAATTAAGTTAATGAAAATGCCCAGCAGCGGCGCCAAAAATTGATGCGTGCAAATGCAACACCTAATTTTACCTCACTAAATTCTAGTGCAAAGTCGTGTAGTAGCAAAGACCAAGTAAAGGTCTTTCTCGTAGAGGATTTGTGAACTTAATTAATTATTTACTTCTAACGGGGTTTGTCACGAATTATAAAATCTCAAAAAAAACTAAAAAGAACTCAAAACGAACAATGTAAATCAAGCAATTAATGACGATAGAGAAATCAAATAGATAAACGAGATTGAAGGTTTATTCGCCACCACTAGACACGGATTGCATATAATAAAAGCACTCTTTAAGTTTCTACCCTCTTGATCACATCAACTCAAAAAATACCAAACGTTGATAAGTCCCATCTCTCCTTACTGAGTCGTTGTACTAGACACGGTCATAACCCAATTCCCTATTTATTAAATAACCTAGGATATGATCTCTAGACTCAAAGTAATAAAAGCATTAAGTTGTGAGAGGCCTACTGAATCAAGGCTAAACTCATATGATCGGTTCAGTTATCTTGAGTGATTACCCCCCATGTATGCAGGCATACACTTTACCACTAGTTATTTAGGTTAATAAAGCGATTCCGTACTAAACAACCTAAATTGGCATTAATAGATTAATCCTAACGATTTAATTGGCCACTTAAACAATTAGAAAAATCTAGTTAGACCCTATTTTCAGAGAAATAATCACATAACCAAGAGGGATCAAAAGATAAAAAGATGCAGATTTTATTAATCACAAGACATGTCTAGGGTTTTGAAATCACCCTCAATCACAAAAGAATTAGTTCTTCATGAATAAATATGAGAACATCATTGTATTATTCATAACAATTAATAATAACAAAGAAAAAGAAAAACTTAGTGAAACTTGGTTGGATTAATGAAATTGATGATGATCTCCTCCAATCCTTCTTCTCCAAGCCTTCTGTAATCTCCCTTTTTCTTCATTTCTTGAATAATCTTTGTTCTCTCTTTTTTTTTTTCTCTAAAATAATCCCCCAAAATAATGCTAAAGGACTTCTATTTATATCCCACAAGGGTTAGGGTTTGTTTTCCTTAATTCTAGTTAGTCTAGGACTCTTAAAACCCTATTTTCCTAGTGAAAAATGGAGGAAAATTTCCCAGCTGCCGTGACTGTCCCGTGGCACTATGCTGCGGCACAGTAGCTACTGGAAAACGTGTGCCGTGGCACAGTAGCTACTGGTCTTCTTCTTGCATCATTCCACTGTTCTTCAGAGATGGTGATTTTTGAACTCAATAACGATGAAATTTGGAAAAGTGGTAAACATATGAAATGTAGCCCTATGAATGAGCTTTCTGACAGTCTAAGAATCATCTTAATCAGAGTTCTACATCTCAGGATATTCTCAAAATACCGAGGCATGCTCAAGCTGGAACGTAATCTAGAATCTTCTCTTTACTTCAACTTCCATAACTTCTTCAATTCAGCTCCGATTCTCGATCTATTTGTTTCCAGTCGTAAAAAATTCTCTCTCCAACATCATCTCTCATCCGTATATTATTTTTGAGCCTTATTTCCTAAAAACACAACAAAAATACCCGTGATCCCAAAAAATGCATTTATGAAACAATTAAGTTAATTCATGCAAATTAATCCTAATTTCCCACAAATGATACCTATAAACCACTAAGTATAAGTGTATTTTCAAGCACTTATCAATTGTAAGATTAGAAATTCAGTCTACTTTGCCGGAAGAGATTAAAGAAAAACAAGTTGCTGATGAGTGGTGTCAGAAAATAGGTCAGTAAGTGCTTGAGGGCAAGATAGCAGAATTCCACTTGTTAGATGGTGTCCTCCATTTCAGGAATTGCTTATGCATTCCCAAGATGCTGAGTTGGAGAAGAGAATTCTTGCGGAGGCTCATGACATACCATACACTGCTTACCTAGGAGCAACCAAGATGTATCAAGATTTAAAGAAGAGTTATTGGTGGCCAGGTATGAAGAAAGATATTGGTGATTATGTGGCTAAATGCTTGGTTTGTCAACAGGCGAAAGCAGAACACCAAAGGCCATCGAGATTGCTTCAGCCACTCAGAATTCCTGAATGGAAATGGGAGA